TCCTGGAGACCCGGGATCGAATCCCACATCAGGCTCCCGGTGCATGGAGCCTGCTTCTCCCTCTGCCTGTGTCTCTGCCTCTCTCTCTCTTTCTCTGTGACTATCATAAGTAAATAAAAAAAAAAAAAAGTACCAGGTACTGGGAGAGTAAAGTGGGGAAGAAAAGAGAGGTAAACCAAGGAGCAGACTCCTAACTACAGGGAATACATTGATGGTCACCAGAGGGGAGTTGGGGGTGGGAGTGGGGGAAATAAATGATGAGGACTGAGAAGTGCACTTGTCATGATGAGCACCAGGTGATGCATGGAAGATATCGTACACCTGAAGCTAACTGGAATTTAAATTAAAACTTAAAAGATATCGTATCACACACACATACCACAGACATCACACATATACTTCACACATGCACACACACACACACAGAGGCCACAAAACACTACTGAGTGAAATAAAAGACTTAAATGGAGAGATCTGTTAATGGTGAGATGTCTATGCTTGAGAAATTCAGCACACATCAGTTAAAATCCCAATGGGCAGCCATTATACAAAAGAAATTGAGAAGCTGATTCTAAAAGTCATATGGAAATTCAAGATAGAACAGAAAAATTACAGATACCTAAAAATAAATGCCACTAAAAACGCCTGAGATCTTGTTTGAGATAAAAAATAATTATCAAAAACATTAATGAAGGGCAGCCCGGGTGGCTCAGCGGTTTAGCGTTTGCCTTCAGCCCTGGGCCTGATCCTGGAGACCCGGGATCGAGTCCCACATCAGGCTCCCTGCAGGGAGCTTGCTTCTCCCTCTGCCTGTGTCTCTGCCTCTCTTTCTCTCTGTGTCTCTCATGAATACATAAATAAAATCTTTAAAAAATATATTAATGAAGATCTGAATAAATAGCTATATCATGTTCATGGATTATAATACAGAATATTATAAGCTTTTCAATTCTTCCCAGATTTATCTATAGACTTGTTGCAATTCCAATCAAAATCACAATGTTACTTTGTGGAGTTCAATATGCTGATTCTAAAATATGTGAAAGAGTAAAGAGATGAGGGTTGGAAGCAGATGGAGTAGCAAAGTATTTCTTCTATCATGTATCAGAATTTATTATAAAGCTAGACATAAAATATTTAAAGCAGATTTTTTCATTTAGTTCCATATCTCACCAATTTTTGGTGTGTTCAATCTTTTTAATTTTTTATTGAAGTTGATTTGCCAACATGTAGTATAAGACCCAGTGCTCATCCCATCAAGTGCCCTACTAAGTGCCCGTCACCCAATGTTCAATCTTTTACTATCTGAACTTTTTTAGAGGGTATGCACTAGGCTGTCTTGTTTCATGCCTTATGGTGCATGGTTGTTTTTGATCCTTTTACTATCAATATGTCTGTGACTTTATGTTTCTTATAAACTGCAGAGTCTTGCTTCTTCTCCAGGATGACAACATGTGCCTTAAAATTAAAGCTTTCTGTCCATTTAGATTCAACATAACTATTGCTATGGATGGAGTTAGGTCTACCATCTTGGCAATTGTTTTCTATTAACCTCACTTGTTCTTTTGTTTCTTTTCTTGTCTTCTGAAATAATCATATATTTTTCAGTATCTCTGTGTTTTTTACTGTGATGATTCTTTTTTATTCCAAACTATTTTTTATTGGTTGCACTTGGCTATACCATAATCATTAATTTATCAGAGTCTAATTTCAAATAATACATACATCTCAACAGTGTTTTTTTTTAAACATTTTTTTATTTATTTATGACAGTCACAGACAGAGAGAGAGAGAGAGGCAGAGACATAGGCAGATGGAGAAGCAGGCTCCATGCACCGGGAGCCTGATGTGGGATTCGATCCTGGGTCACCAGGATCGCGCCCTGGGCCAAAGGCAGGCGCCAAACCGCTGCGCCACCCAGGGATCCCTACATCTCAACAGTGTTAAGAAACTTTTATCTGTGTGATTTCATTTATACCCACCCACCCTTTGTACTCTTCTCTCATATTTTACTTCTAAATAGGCTATAAATATCAAAATGTGTTGTTAATATTTTTGCTTTAAAAGGTCAGTTGTTATATGGGGCACCTGGGTGATGCAGTCAGTTAAGTGTCCAACCCTTGGTTTCAGCTCAGGTTGTAATCTCAGTATCATGAGATTGAGACCTATGTCAGGCTCCCTGCTTAGTGAGGAATCTGCTTGAGATTCTCTCTCCCTCTTCCTCTGTCACTCTCACTCATTCTCTCTCTCTCTCTCTCTCAAATAAATAAATAAATCTTTTTTAAAAAATATCAATTGTCATAAAGATATATAGGCATGTACATATCAACTGATACCAAAATAAGTCATAGATACATATACAAAATAAGTCATATATATACATATATATGCAGACATATATATGTATATACATTGTGTGTACATATATGTGTATATATATATGTATCCTCCTGGGTATGCTTTATTTCTGTTTGCATATCCAGAGTTCTTCCTGAACTCCTTTCCCTTCAGCCTGAACAGGGTCTTTGAATTTTCTTGTATAACAAGTTTTCTCAGCATTCGTCTGCATAAAAGCGTCTTTATTTTTACCTTCATTTTTGAAGGACATTTTTCACTGAATACAGAATGATAGGTTGACAGATGTTTTTTGTTGTTTGTAAAGCAATTTATAAAAACATCATTCCATTATCTAAGAGGCCATAGCCTCATCATTTTTGGTAAGAAGTCAGCCACTATTCATGCCATTGTTCTCATATATACAATATGTCTTTTTATCTGTAGCCACCTTCAGAATTTGCTCTTTATCTTTGGTTTTCAGCACCTTTATTATGTGATTAGGTATGATTTCCTTTGTATGAATCCTGTTTGTAGTTCAGCTGAGTTTCTTGGGTTCTGGGATTATGTCATTCATTAATTTCAGGGTGTTCTTGGACATTATCTCTTCAAATATTTCTTCTGCACCATTCTGTTTTTCTTCTCGTTCTAAGAGTTTAAAGACACATTTAATATTGTCCCACAGATGTCAGACAATCTGTTCATTTTTTTACCCTACTTCTTTCTTTGTATTTTAGTTTATATATTAACCTGTCTTTAAGTTCTCTACTCCGAGGCTTTTCCTACTTTACTCTTGAATCCATTGAATAATTTTTTATTCCTGATATCATACTTTTTCATATGTTGCATTTTCACTTTGTTCTTTTTTATCATTTATCTCAGCTGAAATTTCCCATGTCTGCCCTCATGTTGCCCATCTTTTCTATTAAGTCCTTCAGCATTTTTATGAGTTGTTTTTTCTTTAGCCGTGCTTGGGCTCTTAGCACTGACAAGATTCCAGAGATCTCTTCATACTTTACAACTGGCCACCACCTTTCCAAACCCAAGGAGAGTTGTCTCTGTTCTACAGCCTCACCACCAGCTTTTTGATTACTAAGGGATTCTCTTTCCTCTCTCATCTTGCTCTGGATTTTTCTGCATTGGGAGATCTCTATCTCTCTCTCCTGCTTCCCTGCCCCAAGTCATGGCAGGGAGACTCTACACTCTGTAAAGGCCAACCATGTGTCAGAGGGAGAGTTTCTCTCAGCTCTCTTACCCACTCCCAGCCTATGGTAGCTGAGAATCAAGAATGCATTTGGATTTCTCTCAACTTTGCTGCCTTGCTGCCTGCCCCCCTCCCTGTCTTCAGAGGATTACTGCTTTATATTTGGCAGAGGCCCCAAATGTTTCAGGAGGTTCTATTAGCTCCCCACCTTGTCCCAAAAATATTTGGCTTACTATACCCAAGCACTAAGTGAAGATCTATGGGAAAGTTTGTGGGTGGGTAAAAATTCATTCCTTGGAATTCCCATCTGTCTATTTATGATGGATTCTCATCCCTCTGCCAAGAATGGGAATAACTATGAATCTTTTCTATGAAGGGCTCATCATTTTGTTTCTAATATATTTCCTCTTCGAGGATTGTTTCACACTCATTTAAAGCAACATAAGCTCTAAACTTCAAATTGAATCTTCAGGGGGTCCCTGGGTGGCTCTGTCGTTCAGCACCTGCCTTCGGCCCAGGGCATGATCCTGGAATCCCAGGATCGAGTCCCAGGATCAAGTCTCGGGATCGAGTCCCAGGATGGAGTCCCTCTTCAGGCTCCTGCATGGATCCTGCTTCTCCCTCTGCCTATGTCTCTGTCTCTCTCTCTGTGTCTCTCATGAATAAATAAAAAAAAAATCTTAAAGAAAAATTGAATCTTCATTTGATAAAATGGCTTTTTGCTGAAATGACTCTTTAGCAAATAGTCTGTTTCTCTGGTTAATGGTTTGATACCTGTCTACATCCTGAGTATATCCAATACTAAATATTTGTACATTACATAAACTTAAGGAGACAAGATGTGCCGAAGAGATTCCTTTTAATTGCTGTGAACACAGAAGTTATAAGTAAAAATCTCTAAGTATTAGAATCAGTTGGGAAGGGGAGACAGGGGGAACCTTGGCTCTCTCAGTGAAATTAGGCCCACTGAATTTCAGACATAGCAGTCTTTCAGTGGCCTTCCACTCTAATAGCCTATGTTCATAAAAGGGTGGTATTGAGTTATCTAAGGTTTTCAGTTCTGTCTTCTCTTAATCTCATATCCAAGGAAACTATAATTCCAAAATTAACTCAGTGTTTGAAGTGTATCTTGACCATAGTTAACATCAAAGGCGCACTCCTGACCAGAGTGGATAAATAGAGAAGAAAAGAAAAGGCCGATATTCTCTGAGGCTTTAAAAGGGAATTATTTCTACAGATGGAAACAATTTATCAAAGAATAAAATTATTGAAATAATTTATATTTATGAATATATATCTCTATGTTATATTTCAATGCCTGGAGTATTATTCAGAAATACACTAAAAGTTAGACCTTAGTAATTACTACATTTTAAATATAGCAAATGAGAAGACTGGAATTGTTAGAACTATCCCTAAAACCAAAGATTTTCTAATTATGTTCAATTCAATTTTTTTACAGGCCAAAAGAAGAAGTAGCATGGCAATCTGGACAGAAAATGAAGTTTATCTTGGATACACTTTCCTTAAGTTTGTTAAAATAATAACTACCAAAAAACTTAAAAACCTTCTAAATATATCACCAGCTGCTACGCTGACTATACACAATGTTGAGTATCCAGGACACCCATTGGAACTCGCCTTATTATTAAATTACTGCACTACATGTAGAGTCAACAAAACGATTTATGTGGTAATATACAATGAAGATACAGAACAGTGGGTGTACCAAGACTTTGCCTTAGATGTCTCTATTGACAGTTTTTTAACTCCACATTTCATATATGCAGCAATGCCAGAATTAATACTGCGGGATAAACATAGGATCTACTATTGTTATCACAACTTCACTGAGACTGGAGTTATACAAACACCTACAGAATTTGGAAATCTATCAAGATTGTCAAATAACAGCATTGTTCATGACATTTTCATGGGTGAGCCATTCTCATTCTGCAAAAATTATTCTTGAGTTTATAGTAGACATCTTCCTTATGAAGATGTAACATTTATAAATGCACTAATATATGATGCTTTTGGTAGGTAAAGGTGCACTGTTTACCACCTAAAAATGGATATCTTTTAAGTTTTACTAAGGTTAACTATGATCTCACATAGTGAAATGGCAAACTCAAGTTTTAGTTTTTTCCCACAGATTCATTTTGGTTTATCAGCAGATACCAACTAAGCAACCTACATGTACATTTTCAGCGAAGAAGGTGATAGGATGTTGTCTTCATTTCCTAGGGCTTCCTAGGGCTACCACAAACTAGGTGGCTTAAAACAACAGAAATCTATTGTCTCAGCTTTGGAGATTAGAATACACATTCAAGGTGTCAGCAATGCCATACTCCCTCTGAAACCCAAAGGGGGTGTCTTTCATTGCTTCTTCCTAGCCTTTGGTGGCCTGCTGGCAAACCTTGCCATTCCTTGGCTTACAGCTGCTCATTCCAACTTCTGCCTTCATCACGATGTAACATTCTCTTTGTGTCCTCATATGCCATCTTGTTGCAAGGACAGAGGGCCTACCCTACTCCAGTGGGACCACATCTTAACTAATTATCTCTGTAATGATTCTATTTCCAAATAAGTTCACATTCTGAAGTAGTACTAGGAATTAGAACACCAACATCTTTTCTAAGGGGACACAATTCAACCTATAGCAGGTATTGTCAAGTTGAGTGGACCCATATTCACATCCATGAGGAAGTCATTGAATCTTTCCAAGTCTTAATCTAGAATTAAGGTGGCTGTGTCGATTGGATAAAGGATTGTATGTAAAATGCTTAGATTAAACTGGGCGCATGGTAACCCTTCAGCTAACAGTAGTTATTCTTGATCTTGTTATTTCCAAGGTAGTATACTAAACATTATAGGCAATGCAAAGAAATAGGAAGTTTGATCCTCAAAAAGTCTGGTTAGGAGATAGTCCTAATCATGGAATTTAAAGGAAATGTCACTGTAATTCATAATGTCTTTTTAAGATTTTGTTTATCTATTTGTTACTAATTACAAAGAAAAAGCATGAGCAGGGGGAGGAACAGAGAGAGAGGGACAAGCAGGCTCCATACTGAGCCCAGAGCCCGACTCAGGACTTGATTCCAGGACCCTGAGATCAAGACCTGAGCTGAAATCAAGAGTTGGACACTTAACCAACTGAGCTACCCAGGCACCCTGCATAATGTCTTTCTTGACACCTATCACCCAGAAATTCCCAACCAGTTGATTTTTATGCTCCCCTTTACAATAAAACTCTAAAAAATATTGCCTAGTTTCACTTTTTCCTCTTTCCTCCCTTTCTCTTGAAGCCACTCTAATCAAATATTCCATAAGAAGTGCTCTTGTCAAGGTTTTAAGGACCTCCACTTTGCTAACACAGTGGCCTATTTTCAGCCATCTTCCATAAACTGGCATTTAGTGTGCCTGACTCTTGAAATACTTTTTTTTTCACCTGATTTCTAGGGTGTCTCTTTTTTGCCCTTCCTGCCACTTTGCTAGCTGTTCCTTCTCAGCCTATTTTCCTGATCCTTCATCTTCCTGATTCCTAGAGAAGCACTGCAGGGTTTGGTTTTCAGACATCTGAGCTCTGTTTACATGCACTCTGCCCTCTGGCCATGACCATTCGTCTGCTCCTTGCCTAGTCCTTTCCTAATAAGTAAATATCACCTCTTCCAGTCTTTCCAGCTACAAAAACCTTGATCTCATCCTTGAATCCTTCCCTTCCACATCCCACAACTAGTCCATAGGCAGTTCCTGTTGGCTCTAAAAAGTCTACCGAAAACCTAACCCCTTTCCACCATTCCCACTCCAGTCCAAGCCAGTGTCCTCTCCAGCCCATACATGCAAGAGCCTTTTACGTGCTCTGCCTCCACCCTTAAACTCCCAGCCCCACCAGTTTAGAGTCCACCTAGCTGCTAGAGTGAGCCTTTGAAAACATGCAAAATCACTTTGTATCTCTGCTGAAAACCTCACTTGGCTCCCTTTATCACTCAGGATAAAATCCAAAACACTTACCATGGCCTGAAAAACAGTATGTGGTGTGGCTCCAGACTCTGATGTCATCTCTCATCACTTAACCCTCTGTTCACTGTTTACCTAGCTGCAGACTGGGCTCTGCTGTTCCTTGGATATCTACTGTTACATATGCCAGAAACATTCTTCACTTTGATGTCTACAAGACTCTTACTCTTAATTCAGGTTTAAGTCCAATTGCCACCTGATCAGAGAGCTCTTCCCTGACTCTGCTCTAGCTCCCATGCTCTGTTCCTTACACTTCCTTATTTTGTTCACAATGCTTCTCATTACCCAACAAACTACATGTGTGCTTATTCAGTAGCCAGATTTTCCACCAAAAAACAAGCTCTGTGTGACTTTGTTATATTTGCTGCTTTACCCACAGTGTCTAGAATAACATATAATAGGCCCTTTTTTTAATAAATGAATGAGCAACTATTCATTGAACATGCTCTGCTGGGAGGTGGAGATAGCATGGAAATTGGACATAATCCCACTCATTCTTCTTCTTTTTTTTTAAGATTTATTTATTTATTTGAGAGAGAGTGTATGTGCTTGCATGAGCACAGGGGAAAGGGCAGGAGACTCTAAAGCAAACTCTATACTGAGCATGGAGCCCCACATGGGGCTGATCTCACAACCCCAAAATCACAACCTGAACCGAAACCAAGAGTTAGACCCTTAACTGGCTGAGCCACCCAGGTGTCCAGGAATTTCTACCCCTTAAGAGTTCACAAAATTGCAGAGGATAAAGACAAACACATAAAGCAACATGGCTAATGCTATGACAGAGCTAATATCAGGTGCCACAGAGGCACAGAGATGGAGTACCTTACCCAAACCTGGGGAACAGAGGGGAACAAAAGGCTTCCTCGAAAAAGTGCTGTCTAAGCTGAGGCCTACTGAATGGGTAGAGGTTAGTTAGGCAGTGAAAACAATAGTGGGGATGGTGTGCCCAATGACTCAGAGACAACAGGGTACAATCCAGGCCTTGAAAGACAATCCAGGGGCAGCCCCGGTGGCCCAGAGGTTTAGCGCTGCCTTCAGCCCGGGGTGTGATCCTGGAGACCCGGAATCGAGTCCCACATCCGTCTCCCTGCATGGAGCCTGCTTCTCCCTCTGCCTGTGTCTCTGCATCTCTCTCTCTCTCTCTGTGTCTGTCATGAATAAATAAAATCTTTGAAAGAAAGAAAAAGAAAGAAAGAAAGAAAGAAAGAAAGAAAGAAAGAAAGAAAGAAAGAAAGAAAAGAAAGAAAAGAAAAGAAAAGAAAAGAAAAGAAAAGAAAAGAAAAGAAAAGAAAAGAAAAGAAAAGAAAAGAAAAGAAAAGAAAAGAAAAGAAAAGAAAGAATCCATTGGTGAAACAGAATTCTCCAGAGAGAAAAAGGAGAAATCTCTCCTGGAGAAATAAAGTTCAGGTTATAAAAGTCCTCATAAGCCATGTCAAGAAATTGGACCTTCTCCTAAGGCTTGTATAGGGAGTTCTAAAGAGTTTTGAGCAAAAGAAGCAGAATCATATTTGTGTTTTTAAAAGGCCACTGGCCATAGTGATAAGGAGATAAGGTTAGAATAATCAACTGGGAATAGATTTTAGAGGGACCTTAAAAGCTGAATGTTGCACTGAAGGCCATTTGGAAACACTGAAATAAAAAGTCTAAACAGTCCATAAGCATATGAGAGACAATGTTAAAAGCCTTCGGCCAGGGCAGCCCCGGTGGCACAGCGGTTTAGCGCCGCCTGCAGCCCAGGGCTGATCCTGGAGACCCTGAATCGAGTCCCATGTCGGGCTCCCTGCATGCAGCCTGCTTCTCCCTCTGCCTGTGTCTCTGCCTCTCTCTCTCCTCTCACTCTGTCTCTCATGAATAAATAAAAAAAAATTTTTAAATCTTTAAAAAAAAAAAAAGCCTTCGGCCTGCAGCATTTCCATTACTCAAATAACCCACTATTAAAAAGTTTCCATGGAATGCCTGGCTGGCTCAGAAGCATATGCGACTTTTGATCTCAGGGCCATGATGAGTTCCTCTATACCCACACTGGATATAGAGATTCTTTAAGAATAAGATCCTTAAAAAAAAAATGTTGCTATGAATTTATCTGGACTTCTGAAAGAGAAGGGCAGGGGGAGAGGGTTAACTCAAGTTAACCAGGTTCATTTTCTATGCTATTTTGTTCCACTCTCTATCTGCACTAGCTCTATGTTGTTTTGATGATGATGGCCTTAATCTTCTAATATACCATACAATTCACTTATTTTTATGTATGTTGACTGCCTTTCCTACAGGAATGTAAGCTACACAAGAAAGAGATCTTTCTGGGTTTTTCACTAATGTATCTCCCCCCAGGAGAGATACATTAGTGAAATCTCCCCACCCCCAGGTATCTAGAACACTGTGTAGCCCAGGCATTCCATATATATTTATTGAATAGGTGATTACATGTGTGTAATATTAAGTCTTCTCAACCAGGAATGTTGTGTGCTTCATTATTTTTATTTTCTCTAATTGGTCTATTCAAATCTTCCATCTCTTCTTTAGTCAATTTTAGAAGTTTGTGTTTCCTTGGAGAATCACTCATTTTATCTGGATTTTCTAATAAACCTTATTGGCAAAGCTTCCCATTTTAATTTTTAGATTGCTTGTTATCTGTAATAGTATTCTCCTTCTCATTTATAATGTTCTCTGTACCCCACCACTTTTAAAGATATTGCTTCTTTTTTTAATGATTTTTTTGGTTTTGTTTTCCTTTGAAAATAACTGTTTATCAAATCTTTCTATTTAACTCCTTAATTTCTGCTTTTGTCACTCTTGATTCTTCACTTGTGCTTTCCTTTTGTGACTTTATTGTTTTTTGCCTGCTTCTAATGGTAAATGATTAGTTCATTTATTTTCAGTCTTGTTTCCAAGGATTTAAAACTACAGAGAAGCATAAGGCTATAATTTTTTCTCACTATGGCATTAGCTGCATCCACAAACCTTTATATATAGTGCTTTTAATCTCATTAGTTTAAAAACATCCCTAAATTTCATCTTCATATTTAATCCTAAATTCATTTACTCATGTTTTAATAAACAGGGTGCCTAGGTGACTCAGTCAGTTAAGCATCTGACTCCTGATTTGGGCTTAGGTCATAATTTCAGGGTCCTAGGATCCAGCCTCATGGCAGGCTCCCTCCCCAGCAAGGAGTCTGCTTGTCTCCCTCTCTCTTTACCCCTGACCTTCTCACACTCTCTCTAAAATAAATAAATTTTAAAAAAAATAATGTTTGAATAAGCAGCATGATAGGCAGAAGAGAGAATGCTGGAAAGCACATGGGAGGGACATCTAATCCAAATATATGAGATAAGGAAAGTCTGCACAGAGGAAATGCCTTCTAAACTGAGAAAAGAAAGATGGTACATACTAGAAAAATTAGAACAATGGTCAGGATGGGAATTTTTTTTTAAAGATTTTATTTATTCATTCACAAGAGACACAGAGAGAGAGGCAGAGACATAGGGAGAGGGAGAAGCAGGCCTATTATTTATAGCACTAATGCCAGTTTTTTTATATAAATAATGTCATATCTAAAAGTGATATCATATATATATATAAAATTATATAAAAGACATATATCCAGGAAAAAAAATCTCTACTCTGAAGTGGGAGAGAAGTTCTCCAGCATCATGTAAAGTTGCAGATTTGTGCCTGCACACTCCAATTTTTCTCAAAACAGATAAATCCTTCATTATTACAAAAGAAATTATTTTGGTTAAAAGTCCATGGATTTATAGTTACTTAGGATAACACTAACTTTTCCCCTTCTTTTCCAGATTATTATGGAAATGTTGTGGTAAAAATGGAAAACAACATAATGTTTTATTTCAAGATCAATATCAGAGATGCAATAAAACTACATTTATGGACAAATAGCACAATGAAGTCATTAATTTTATTGAATTCCTCTGGTCAAATATCTCTCATATATGTTTTTGAAAATGGCACAATATATCCACAGGAATATCCTTTAAAACTGGAGTCACTAAGTGTAAACTTCAATACAAATGAAAAATGCCCCTACGTGGCATTTCATAATAATATTTTTAGTATATTTTACTTTTTGGACAAGGGACAGAACCTGTCCATTTGGACTCAAATAGTCTATCCAGAAAATATAGGTCTGTATATTGTTGTGGAATCATATGGCCCAAATATATTACAAGAGAAAGATCAAACTCACTATGAAATAGCCCTAGGATACTGCACAAAAACGATGGTAAGTTAATATTTTAAAGTTTCTTCATTTGATTGTAATAAATGTAAAATTATAATGCTTACATATTTTATCCTATCATGAAAAATAGATGCAATAGAATGAAATGTCCAGTTAATTCCAAAGTCAGTTAAAGCAGAGAATCATAAAAAATGAAACTGATGTGAATGAAACATTGTACTTCAATTTAAATGAATGAATGTATACTCATTGGTCAACCTTTTAATATAGGACCACAGACTTTTCTTTGAAATAAGTAAAATTATTGGAGCATCTCCTCTCCTTTTTTCCATAACCTTATTCATAATACATTATCTCTGAGTTCCCATTTCTGTTTCTTTAAAAGGAGCGAAGTGGGAGGGGCGCCTGGGTGGCTCAGTTGGTGAAGCCTCTGCCTTTGGTTCAAATTATGATCTCAGGACCCTGGGGATCAGCCAGCATCTGGGCATCAAGCTCCCTGCTCAGCAGGGAGTCTGCTTCTTCCTCTCCCCCCACCCTCCCCCGCTTGTGCGCTCTTTCTCTCTCTCTCTCTCTCAAATAAAATCTATTTAAAAAATAAATAAAGGAGAGGAGGGGGAAAAATGAATGACACTGGCAAAGCTACCAAAGTTCTATATTTTTTTCTTTTTTTTCCCAACTTTTTACTATTATCTTGCTCATCCCTAATTCAGCAATTTATTCAGGGACTTGCTTTATTAAAA